GTCCTAGCCACTGGGTTAGGGTCTTACCTTGGAGTTTCGTCGTAGTAGCTTCGGATGCTAATCTGGAGGTAGCATCTTGTAAGTCAGAGAGTGAGCTGTGCTCAAGCGTGTCGTAGCCCCCTGGGAATAACTTCTCTGTGAGGTCTCGCAGAAAGTTATCCACTATGCCGTGTCCTTCTGAGACACCGTCGTGCCTGCTCGGTCGTGGCGAGTTTCCGCCATCGATTTCCATATTTGTGTGGGTGAGTGTATGCGAGGATGACTTGGAACGTGTTGTGTACGACACGGTGGGAGGAGGGAAAGGAGGGAAGCAGTGCTATAGAGAGGGTAGTTTAGCTGTTGGTCGTGTGGTGGTGTAGACCTTGGTGTGTGTCAAAACCGTGACTACAGCGTCCTCTCCGTGTGGCGGTGTATGCGAGTAGGCGGCCTAGGGCAGGGGCCGGGCGTTAGTACTTCTTCACCTGTGTGTCAACGGAGAGCGTTGGGGTTAGTGGCGTTGGCGCACGTAGGGTTAGCAGTGGCGCCGGCGGCAGCAGCAGTATTAGGGCGCGGCGTTAATCGCAGCGGTAGACGCGGCGTAAGAGACGCCGCGTGGGATGCACCTGCGTGGGAGACACACTTGCGTTTGTTGCGCACTTGCGTTTGTCGCGCACTTGCGTTTGTCGCGCACTTGCGTTTGTCGCGCACTTGCGTTTGTCGCGCACTTGCGTTTGTCTCGCACTTGCGTTTGTCTCGCACTTGCGTTTGTCTCGCACTTGCGTTTGTCTCGCACTTGCGTTTGTCTCGCACTTGCGTTTGTCTCGCACTTGCGTTTGTCTCGCACTTGCGTTTGTCTCGCACTTGCGTTTGTCTCGCACTTGCGTTTGTCTCGCACTTGCGTTTGTCTCGCACTTGCGTTTGTCTCGCACTTGCGTTTGTCTCGCACTTGCGTTTGTCTCGCACTTGCGTTTGTCTCGCACTTGCGTTTGTCTCGCACTTGCGTTTGTCTCGCACTTGCGTTTGTCTCGCACTTGCGTTTGTCTCGCACTTGCGTTTGTCTCGCACTTGCGTTTGTCTCGCACTTGCGTTTGTCTCGCACTTGCGTTTGTCTCGCACTTGCGTTTGTCGCGCACTTGCGTTTGTCGCGCACTTGCGTTTGTCGCGCACTTGCGTTTGTCTCGCACTTGCGTTTGTCGCGCACTTGCGTTTGTCGCGCACTTGCGTTTGTCGCGCACTTGCGTTTGTCGCGCACTTGCGTTTGTCGCGCACTTGCGTTTGTCGCGCACTTGCGTTTGTCTCGCACTTGCGTTTGTCGCGCACTTGCGTTTGTCGCGCACTTGCGTTTGTCGCGCACTTGCGTTTGTCGCGCACTTGCGTTTGTCGCGCACTTGCGTTTGTCTCGCACTTGCGTTTGTCGCGCACTTGCGTTTGTGTCGCACTTGCGTTTGTGACGCACTTGCAGCGCAGCTGTTGCGTTTGAGACGCACCAGCGGCGTTTGAGACGCAGCGTGTAAGCAGTAGCAAAAGGCAGCAGGCTGAGGCAGGGCAATGCAGTTTTAGTCACAGTGAGGGTTAGAAATAGAGTATTAGTTTTGGTGTAGTACCATCAAACATAGAGTTTGGCAGAGTAGAGCGGCTATTAATTGGAGCAACAAAGCAGCATGGAACAAGCAGCCAGACAGTGTTAATGTTATCACCATGGGCCGCAGTGCGGTCTAGCCGTGGCATGCAGGAGGGGCAGAATTAAAATTGTTAGTTTTAGTTACGTATTAGCAGTAATGTGTTCAAAATAGCAACATGCGCTAGAAGTAGCAGAGTTACAGTGTGAAACTTGGTCAACGCAGTAATGTAGCCTAACAATTATGCTTAAGAGGAGAAGCAGAAGCAGAGTGTCACTTCTGACCCTAACTATCCCTATCTCTCTAATCCTATTTATCTAAACAGTTGTGCCTCTTTTGCACTTATACCCCTGTGGCTCTTTTCATCATCTGTTCTGTTTTTTAAGGAGGGACCAATGCTTCCCCCAAGGTTAAAACGTCTAAACCTGACTATTGTTCTATCGCGTCCGATAGAACGCCCCGTCACGGCGGTCGCCTGGCCACGCTGCAGTCCGTCGAGCCGAATTCTCTCTCTCTCTTCCATTTAAAACAATGTGCAGATTTTCAAAAGTAACGATCCGCTTACCTCTTTCGAAGAGAAGAGAGAAGAGAAGAGAGAATTCTCCCGGCCCACGGACCCAGTCTATATTTGAGCTCATCTCTGTCTTTCCCCTGCACCATCACGTCGGGGGTCTCCAAATGAAGTCAATAATTCCCTTGACTGACGTGTTCGAGTTGATGCAGAGGCATGACAACAGATCTCCAAGTTTTAACATCTGTATTTAATTATCTTTACAATCAGATACAGAAATTCCAACAAAGAGGGCTCCTAAAACTATGCATGTCCCTGGCTCGCCCTCGGCTCATTCTCCTGTGTCCTCTCAAGCCAGAGCATTATCAGTCCATGTTCAGGAAGCAGGGGGCGTGTCGTATCAGGCAGGACTTGGGTCCGGCCTCTTCCATCATGTCCCCTCTGTCTGCCGTACCTTAAACAGAATCATTCACACACACTACCACTCCCCAAATTTATTACTTCTTTGAGATAAGGCAGAAGGCTCTCTGGGTCCCCCTCCTCCTTCAGGATTAGCAGAATCCCCCCCCAGATTACCTATCATTAACTCACCCATGCACTTTGGACTAACAAAGGAACATGGGGAAACCAGGTCTTTTTGCTTTAGGAAAAGACAGTTCAAATCAGGGTCAGCCAATATTCACATCTGCATAGTTAAAATATACAACATGGATCACTGTAGAAAGCCATAAATAATTTGGGATGCGAGTCTTCTACATCTGTTTGGTTAAAATAAAGTTCAATAAACTGTACGGAAAGGGTCTTCTAAAAAAAAACATTTTCTGAAAACAAACAGATATACATGTTGTCTTATATATTAGATAAGATAGATACATCTTTAGCATAAGAAAGAGCCCTGTGAGTCACAATTTGACACTTTGGGCTGAAAGCTGATTGAGAGAAGGTGGTCTTTTTTTTTTTTCTTTTTTTTTTCGCCAATATTACTGCTACCGACAAGTCTTAATTAAACACTTCGTCCATTGTTAACATTCACCCTTTAGGTAACTTCAGCAACTCATTCTAGATAACCACTAACACTTAAGGTTTTCATTTTGCCTCATATTTTCAATAACTCTTGCTCTTGCAGCAGATTGTCCTGTTCGTGTCAATATGTTTAATAACACACTCCAGTTTCTGTTATTGTGCCAAATGTCAATGTGTTAATACCAATATTACTAATATAACATCAACTATATAACTATCAATCACCTGTGCAGACCTCTCATAATCTGATTGTAAACATCTTGATACATCTTGATTAACATGGTAAATCATCCCGAAGTTTTGCTACAATCCTTCTCCCTGCCTTTGCCTGCTGAAATTTTATATTTTCAATAAAGGAATGCCACAGTGGGCGGAGCCATGTCCTCGCTGACAAAGGAGACAGGAGTAGATCAAAAAGTGCACCCTTGACATTGAGGCACTTTAGGAGACATAAGTGGGACAGTCTATTAATCCTGCATCTGTGTGTTTTATGAGGCGCCGGGTGCGGAGTCTGTCCCAAAGGGCACTAAGTCCTGCAAACGGATCGGACTGCGGCTGTGATGGGTGCTACACGTACTGGTCCCTAGATTAAGCCTGCACTCTTTAATTAGCGGATTTATCTTTTCATAGAGCAAGCACTTTTCTGCCCATTGGGTTGACCTTGATGGCTGACTTTGGGGTAGTGAAAAAGTGGGGAAATTTAAGTTTGAATTGCAATGAATTAATGAAAATGGCTTTGTTATTATTGTCAAAAAAATAGGACGGACATGTTTGAATTTGATACAGAAATAAGACTAAGTATATAAGAGTTAAAAATAGAAATATTTAATTATCTTTACAATTAAATACAAAACTCAGAGCTCCTATCTAACTGGCTAACCCTATCTAATCCTATGAGCTGAGCTTAAAGTACGGTAACTGTCCCTAAACTATGGGAGAAGACAATCCAGGCGCTCTGCGGATGTCCTTTGTCTATCTATCCCTGCTCAGACTACGAACAAAACGTCCAACCAACACTTTTATCAAAATGTCCGATGACGTCATATGGTGAGACCAACAGAGGCCCTCGTTAGTTTTGTGTCTCAGGCCTTGTTCCGATAAGACACACGCTGTTCCTGAAAATGATACTTTTTTCACAGAAACCTTGTCCTTGAGTCTCTCTCTGAATTCCACTAAATCCAGGCTTAATATTGCACAAAGACATTTTATGCAAACACCTAATGATAATCATTAGTATACAACATTTTAATTCTACAACATTATAAACAGTAGTTCAGGAGCACTGGGAAACTGTGTTACATTAAGTGCTGTTACAGGCTTGCTTATTACACTTTATACATTAAACAATTAATCTTCCAAACATCTACATCAATAACAGAGTTTGATACAAACTAAAATATACATTTGGGTGGTGAGTCATGGATGTTCAATGATATTATGTTTGTTTCTGCTATCTGTTATGACGTGAGTCTGGTATGACTCATTTGCAGTTTTTTGGTCATAATACAGTTATTCACATCTTTATAAAACATATCTATGACCATTAAACATCTTCCATAGTATGTTTTGTTTAGTCCTAACTACTCAATACTTCTTTAGACAATTATCGATTTTGAGAACCTTCCTTCCATATCATCTTCATGTGAATTATATTATCAATGTCCAATAATTGCTCGCACAAACACACCTGCATCCTGTGAAGAAAATGATGATTGTCCTGCAGAGACTAAACGTATATATTGACATGTTCATCTTCTCATAGAAAATGTAACACAATGTCTCCCATCACAATACTGACCAGTCCCCACGTTGCTAAGCAGGAACAATGTAGTTACAGAGATATAACATGTTGAATTGTTTGTGTTTAGATGGTCAAGGCCATCCAAGTGCTTCGAATCCACCTGTTGGAGTTGGAGAAAGTCAATGAGTTGTGTAAGGACTTCTGTAATCGCTACATCACCTGCCTCAAGACCAAGATGCACAGTGACAACCTCCTGCGGAATGACCTGGGGAGCCCCTACTCTCCCACACACACCAGTCTGGGCCTGCAGCAGGTGGGTCCCTTCTCAGTTGTAAAAATAATAAACCAGTTGTAAAATAATGACAAGGGAAGAACCTTGAGTTTGACATTTGTCGCTGCAGTCATCCACAGACTTTAATTCAGACACAAAACGACTGCGAGTGAACTTTGAGGCTCTGGACTTCAGGACAGTTATGGACTGCACTCTGTCTGGATATAACACAACATTCTTTTCTTCATGTTTGAGGCATGCATCTGGTGACTCTGTGCATGTGTGTGAGTGCATCTGTGTTTGTCAGCTGCTTAAACATGATTTTGCTGTTTTGGTCAATCTGGTTTTATGTTCTCTGTTTTAGTGCAGTTTGTAGTTGTTATGGATACACATAATAAGTGCATTATAAAGTGCATTACATATACAGCAGATAATTGCGTATTTCGCAGTGGGTTGGTGTTTAGTGTCCTCCAGCAGCTTGATACAAAAATACAAAAAAAAATTACAAATAAAACTCTAGTTTGACAGGTTGAACTTGTTCTAGCTGTTATTTCTGCTAATAAATCTACTTAGTAGATATAATGTGTTTTTGTCATTGTGCTGCAGTTTCACATGCATCACAATGATGTGACAGAATCCACCAACCACACAGACATAACGACTGTTATGAGAATCTGTAGTCGGCCCACGCCTCCCTGAATTTGTCGAGGGCTGAACTCTGTAGCAATCTTTAGTGTGACCCATTGAAAAGTCATGAGGTGCGGACCACCTACGGAATATGTAAATATGAAAAAGTTATGTTTTAAAACATAACTCATTTACTATAAGGTTTCCTTCATGACTGGCAGTCATGTAGTGTATGGACCCTCCACAATATTCTGAAACTGATGCTGCAAAAGTCATGCAGTGTCTCCTCACTCACTACGCGGCCAGAGACAAACTTATAGCTGTCTCAACCAGTATGTCTCTGTTTTTTTTCTTAAACGCCCTTCATGAGAAGACATTGTGTCCACACAAACCAGTCCACAGCCCGACACACACTCTTCCTCTGGCTCGTCTATCGTCCAACAGTGTCGCCCACTGCTGTTGCTTTTCTCAAATGCAATTCTAGAACAATCGTTCCTGGATCAGGATGAAATGTCTCAACTCTACAGTAAACTTAGATATTGTGACACAGCGAGTTCTCAGGAAGACTGCTCACTAGTATCTCTCTGTGATCCCCCAGGAACTAATTCAGACCTCCTCTCCACCCATGACCTCTGTCTCCAGCTCGGTTAACTCTGCAGGGATCGTGGTGCCAGCCGGCGGACTACAGCAGGGAGGCGTGTCCATGACGACCATCAACTCTCAAGTGGTGTCTGGTAAGAGCCATTTCACACTGAAAGCAAACACAGAGGTTGTTTCATCAATAGATAATCTCGACCATGCTACAAAAAAAAGATCCAAATCATAAACGGCAACTAAAAGTTAACGAGAAAAATAGTTTTTGGACTCATCAGTTATCTTCTTTGAGCATATACTGTAATAATAACGTTGTAAACTAATGTAGTTTTAGGATTATAGAAGAACTGGGTATCTTTCAGAGCCGATACAATACTTATCTTGATACAATATATTTCCAAATGATGCGGTACGGTTCAGGAAATAATAAAGCCTTTGGTTATTTTATATAACCCTGCAGCCCATTGTGACAAAATACACCACATTATTGATGCATTTATATTTTATCCATTAAAGGAGCTATACCCGTTTCTGTAAGGTTTGAATGTTTAGCACCGCCCCTCAACTCGCTCACAGGCTTCTCATTTCCCCTACGCTCTCATTCCAAGGAGCCATCTAGTCGTATTTGCGATCTGTTATGGAAACATTAGCATGAGCGCAACTTTTTGTAAACTGTTGAAATGGTACAAAAGCAACGCTCTGCTAACAAAATGTATAACTGAAAGATTACCGCTAGTTTCGCGTCCGAATGTTGTCCGAGCATAGATAGTCCGAGCATAGATAGTCCGATCGTAGATAGTCCGATCGTAGATAGTCCGAGCATAGATAGTCCGAGCATAGATAGTCCGAGCATAGATAGTCCGTGGCGGTCCCGCTCCCGCAGGTCTCTCCCATAGACAAGTCTCTCCAGAGGATACGTTGTAAGCTAGCTATGATCACCCGGGCTTGATTTCTTCTTTGATAATTTTTTCGCTGTAGTTCTCTCTTCTCTTCCTCACTGTTGTGTCGTTTGGGCTGTTTTACTGTGTATGCAGTTACAGCAAGAAGAGTTATAGCCAACCTATTGTGTTTAGCAGCGCAGTAGAGGCTAGAGGACGCCGCCTGCTCGTGACAGCACCGCTCCTTGTTCTGTGAGTGGAGGAGAGCAAGCGTCACGCTAAAGCCCAACGCACACCGAAACGCCTTGACGCGCGGCAAAAGAGCCGCCTCCTTTATTTTCTATGAGAGAACGCACACCAAGGTTGCAGTGACGCGCGGCGACGCTGGACCGGGCGCCACGATTCAGTTTTGTTGAATCCAGACGCGGCGCCGCGGCTGAAACTGTCCCTCCAAGCACCCGTAGTTTTCTTCTTCTGCGCTTCTTATCACGTAGCTGTGAGCGCGGTCTCAAATTTACACACTTGTCGGCGCTATTGCTCAAGTAAACCGGTCACAATGGACGAGGAAAGCTTGATAACCCAAGTACAGCGTTACCCAGAGCTATTTAACCCACAGAATCCTTTTTATAAGGATATCGTGCGAAAGGAAATTGCCTGGACATTCAATTTCACTTGAAATTGAATGTACAGGTAAGCTAACAATAGGTAATTGTAGCTATTTTTATTGGCTATATTGGCTATATCAGCTGGAAAAGGACGCTAGCCAAGGCGTTCCGGTGTAATTTGACACATGTCATGAACGCGCGTCAAATGACGCGCCGCGAGGCGCTGCGTTTCGGTGTGCGGTGAGCTTAAGTCTCTACTCAGCACTTTTTACGGCCTGAATTCATACACAAACTGAATCAATGAGCTCAAATTTTAAATTAAAATACGGATTCTAATACAACTTGTATTAGACTCTGTCTTCGAGAAACCCAAACCACCAAATGATCCACTACAAGTTCATTCATAGGGCTTATCTCTGTCCTAGGAGATTGCACCTGATGAAACTTAAGGACAATCCTTATTGTGACTTCTGTTCAGACAAGGTCATTGGGACTTTTCTTCACATGGTATGGGAGTGCCCCCAGGTTCACTGTTTTTGGGAAAATGTTGCTGGTGCTCTGTCAAACCTAATGGAAAGAGAATTGCCCTACACTCAGAGGTTACTCTTACTGAATGAGACTTCCAATCTTAAATTAAATATTAATGAACGCCGCCAAATTCTAGCTGGTCTCACAGCTGCTAAAAAGATGATAGCATGTCGATGGAAACTTAGACAAACCCTGAGTGTGGAGCAATGGCTCTCATCATTTAAAGACATTGTCCAGATGGAGCTTTCAGCAGCTCGGATCCACGGCGCCAAAAGCGAAAATATCTCATGTTGGTCAAATCTGTTACATAATGCAGCTACTGTGTGAAACTTGATTGCAAATGCTTTGATTGTACGTAATAACTATGAATGTACAGTACATAACGATATGTATTCCAAATACAGTGTAAATGTTACATAACTATATGTATCCAAAGCTATTTCTGTAGATGTCACTGACGGAGGAAATTAGCAAATATGTTTGTTCTGTCTATCACTCTTGACTACCAAGACTTGTGTTGTTTGCTTTTTGCTTTTTGCCTTTTGCTTTTTATTTTTTGTTACCATGCCTGGACAGTAGGGGTGGGACATGGGGGTGTGAGTGAGTGTGTGAGTGTGCAGTATCTAAGTGTGGTATTGTTTTACTGTATCTTTATTTCCTTAAAATTCATATGAACATGTATTGTGCATTTCTGCTCATACTAAAAGACCCATTATCACAAAGGGTGAGGGGGGGAAAAAATATAAAAAAAAAAAAATCTGTGCTGCATATGAAATTGTTATGTAAAACTTATAACCCGCACAACCCAATAAAAATTTGATCACAAAAAAAAAACTTGTATGTTGTAATAATCATTTTTATTAACTCTTAAAAAAAAAAAAAAAAAAACAGGTATTGTGTCTTTAAAGATTATTTGTTGTTATTGTTATTAAAATTACTAATAATAATTCAAGATAATCGAAAAATCAATAATTTAAATCATTAAAAAATATTGATGTTTATCTAAGAATCTATGTATTTACACTGCTCTAGAATTTAGAATTTAAAAAGAGGAATAAAAGTTGCTTACATTTGGCCCATATGCACATGTTCTTACTCGTAAACTACTTCAGACCACAAGTGGGTACTTACAGCAATACTTCTTACAGCATGGCCTGTGGTTGATATGTAAATGACTGTAGTGCCTGATGTTTTGTGTGGATGCAAATGCACGGCAGATTATTCTTCACTTGCTTGTCTGACTCTCTTCTAATGTCAGGCCTGTACAGTGAAATGTTAATCCTGCCCTCTGGAAATCCCTTTTAACCCAAAATAAATCAATGTGCGTGCCTTTGATCACTACACATTGAAGAGCTCAAACAGACTGCGATAAGGACTTCTTGATCAAGGCTAATTAGCCCGCTAGCTAACACGCACACACTCTGTCTTCCTCTTCCTCTGTTTCTCATTTGAGCCATTATCACACCTTGAATTTAATCGCTCCATCTTCTAGTTTTCCTGTGTTTTGTCTTAATAAGATGGTATGCGCTGTAGTGGCGGGGCTGCTGGGAAAGCCACTTCTCGTGACAGTAAATTCTCCCCTCAGGTGGGACCCTGTACCAGCCGGTTGCCATGGTGACATCACAAGGACAAGTGTTGACGCAGGGGCTGCCTCCAGGAACCATCCAGATCCAGAACTCGCAGGTAAAGCACTTCTGAGCAGGCCTTGAATCTATGTGGTCATTCTTAAGATCAGGGGTCCCCAACCCCCGGGCTGCGAACATGGGTAATTCGGAACCTTGTCGAAAGAATAAATAACTTGGATTATTTCCGTATTTATTATCAGAGTCTGAATAATGAGTGGATCTCTAACCTTAGTTAGCCATGTGCATGCTCACCCCCACAGCTCTCTGATTGGACAAAATTAATTCAAATCGGCACAATTGGTCTAACTTGAAAATACATAATACCACAGGGTCATGTGGTCATACGCTGTATTTTAAAAATGGGAGTAAACAGGCTTTTGTGCAGGCCTGTGTTTTAAGATGACGGAATTGTATTTGCAACAAAGAATTTACCCACAATCTCCAAAGAGCACCTGGCTCAGCACTCCCTATACTTCTCTATATATTTACTATGTTTTAAATCTAACAAAGCAATGCAGTAAAACATTGTCGTATACATCTCTGGCCCTTTACCCTATTAACATTAAGTCAACCTTTATTCATCCACCACAGTGGGAAAATGTCAGTGTTGCGTCACACGTTACAGAACAGTAGGAATGAGGAGCTCACAACACAAGTGAATATTAAGTATAGCGCAACTCTACCCTTAAAATATATAATGAAATCTTTATTTTTAGCTGAATAAAGAAAAAAAGTATAAAACAAATAAACTTGTATACTCTAGTACAAAGACGTATATACTTGTATGTATCCATCTGTAGGTAAATCTGTAATACACTCTAGTGCAGGAAGCATTTTCTTATAACAAACCAGTTGTGTGACCATCTATGACTTGAGCGACACCTGCTTTTGTAGATTGTGAATATATATAAGCAAAATGTGTTATTAAGTATGTTAAAGGCTCTTCTAGGGAGACGGATATTGAAAATTAGCCTTGGCTATAAATGTTTTAGTCTTTCACATGTTGATTGTGTACACTTGTCCGTATCAATAAAACAAAATAAATCAATCTTGAAATAAGTTGTTAGCTTTGTTGGTTCAAAATCCACAGTGATGATGATACTACTGTACATATTAGCAGCATGACGATACTGGCCATACTTGACTGTGAAAGCCAGATCCCGTCAGACCACTGAAGCTGTGCAGGGCAGGGATTGGTGAGTCCCGTGACGGGAAACCTCTGGGAACAGCAGCTGCCACAGTGGAGCGGCTGTGGCTGTAAAATGCCAAAACTGCCATTGTGTCCTTAGGCAAGACACTTACCCCATATTGCCTAGAATGAGTCTGGTGTGAACGGTTGGTGGTGGTCGTAGGTTGCATATACTGGTTGCCTCTGTAAGTGTTGCTTAGGGCAACTGTGGCTACAGTAGTAGTAGTTTATCACCACCGTGTATGGCCTGAAAGAATAATGAACATGTGAAGCGTCTTTGTCATGAAAAGCGAAAACCGATGCATTATAATTATTAAATGTTAGCAGCATGTGATACTACTGTACACATTAATGTAAGATAAGATAGACTTTATTGATCTCACACAGGAGAAATTTACATGTCACATCTGGCATGTATAGAATCACTCAAGATTGTGCAAAAGAAATACAGTAGATGTGCAAACATGTATAATGCAGGATATATTATGTACAATAAAAAGTGGCAATCAAGAAACAGTGTTAATAGTACTTGGGACTACGGATGAAAAATAGCCGTTTGGCTAATTCTGGCATATTTACAGAAATGTTCATTAATATGCACTGTCCCAGTAATAAATAAATAAATAAATAAGTAAGTAGTGCAGGTTTTTCAGTCCTAATGCAAGTGACTTAAAGTGACTTATTGTACAGTCTGACTGCGGTGGGGATAAAGGCCCTGCGGTACCGCACCTTCTTGCACTGAGGGTGCCTCAGTCTTCCACTGAAGGAGCTCCTCAGCTCCTCTACAGTCCTCAGTGTTGCCAACTTAGCGACTTTGTCGCTAGATTTAGCGACTTTTCAGACCCTATAGCAACTTTTTTTCAAAAAAGCGACTAGCGACAGATCTAGACAAAGCATTAAAATCCTTAAATGTTGTTAATGTTGAAATTATTTTTGTACATTTGTAGTTCTAAACATATTTAGGGTGTTTTTTACTCACTTTTGTCTCTCCCACGACGTTATTCCTCTCTCCTACAGCGTCCGTTACAGTTATTTGCAAATTGCAAATTAGGCGATGACGTCATTTAGCGACTTCTAGCGACTTTTGGGACAGCCAATAGCTACTTTCCTTACTGAGGAGTTGGCAACACTGACAGTCCTGTGCAGTGGGTGGGAGGTGTTGTCCATGATGGAGGTGACTTTGACTAGCCCCCTCCTGTCCCTCACCTCCTCCACAGATGCCGTTTTTCCACAGTCCTAGTACGGTACGTTTTGACTCTACACGGCGCGCCATGGCCCAGTTCGCGTGCTTTTCCATCAAAAATAGTACCCCCAGTATGTCCTCAGCGTTGTCAGACCACGTCATTTATGTGTGACGCGTAACTAGTACTGGTGCGGTGCATGGAGTTATTATAATACCAGAGCAAGTGTTTAATAGAAAATTCAGCACAGCACGAGTAGTTTTTGAAAATGCTTATGTCTTAAAAGAATGACTCGGACACTGAAGTCAATGGTGCTGACTGCTCTGTACAATCTGAATGGGACCTGTAGCAACAGCAGCCTGTGTAGCAGAGGAGGAGGGCTGCATGTCCGAGGATACTGCTAGGCTATAGCTAATGCTAGCGCTAGCTCGAGACTCTGCTCACTCACTAACCCTGGATTCCAAAGCTACTACTGTACTAGACTTAACACATCTATCACTGCCCTCAGAGGAGGATCCAGGGTTTAAACTCGTCATATGGCAACTCGAGCAGTAAAGGACGAAGGGAGAGACAGCGGCAGCCATAGGGGTAGCGAGTTAGCGGCTAGGCTAGGCTAGGCTAGGCTAGTCCGGACTCGGGTCTGGACTACAGCAGACTTCAATAAATGAATGAAACACAGTCTTGGGATACAATCACAGATTTATTGAAAACAAAAGTAAAGTGCAAAACCAACAGTTTACAATGGGCGGCAGTAGCTCAGTTGGTAGAGCGTTGGCCTTCGAGCCAGAAAGTCGTGGGTTCAAGCCCCGCTCAAGACTTTCACCATCGACTCCCACTGACTACTGTCGTTGTGTCCTTGGCAAGACACTTAACCTCTGGGAACACCAGCCACAGTGGGGCGGCTGCGGCTGTAAAGTGCCAAACTGCCGTTGTGTCCTTAGGCAAGACACTTCACCCCCATTGCCTAGAATGAGTCTGGTGTGTGTGTGAATGGTTGGTGGTGGTCGGAGGGGCCGATGGCACATACTGGTTGCCTCGCTTCTGTCAGTGTGCCCCAGGGCAGCTGTGGCTACATTAGTAGTTTATCACCATGTCATGTGTATGGAGTGAATGAATAATGACATGTGAAGCGTCTTTGAGTGTCCAAAAAAGCGCTATATAAAACCGATGCATTATTATTATTATTATTACAAAGTCAAAAGTACGTATGTCTGAGACCAGGTCCAGACCAGGTCCAGACCAGGTCCAGACCAGGTCCAGACCAGGTCCAGATGAGGAGAATACTCCGGTCACTCATTACTCGTTGGTAATCTCCACACTTATGGGAAGGGATTCTCATACAAATATACACACGACAACTTAAATACAAGCACAAAACAGAATGACAACACGTGAATACTGCAGATTATATGAGATAAAGCACAGAAGCACAGGGAGGACGTTAGCTTAGCTGCTATCGATAGCTAAATGAAGCTAATTGTAGCTAGCTCACTGTGTACAACAGACAATCGAACATTTACACAGTAAATACATTTCAGTGAGAGCTTTGGGCCAACGGGATTCATAGCTAACCAGTTATTTCAGGATTACCACAGACTAGTCACAAATCCAGAGCTGGGGGATCTCCCTGAAAACTGTGTTGAGCCTCGAGCTGCCTTTGAATTCTTTCTTTGGCCTGAAGAGAGGAACGTGTGGACCTCGTCCACCGACCAGGACCAGGACTTTTGGGGCTTTCTGTGAAATTCCATTTCTCTGGAGTGAGGAGGACGTAATGTAGCCGAAGCAGAGCCGGGCAGAGCAGCCGGTTTTAAAGATGGCGGTTGAGTTGTTTTTCCCAAAGGGTCAGATGTGCTTCCAGTGACGACACTCGTTGACCAATCAGTGTAAGACAGTGGGCAGACGTCACGTCATGGCACGGGTACTATGGGGATGGAACCACGGCTGAGGCAGTACGGAAAAGTACTCAAATCTCCCATACCATCCACTAGTGGAAACGCAAAATAACCGTGCTGAAGCGTACTGTACTGTACCGTACTGATACTGTGGAAAAGCGGCAAGAGTCCAGGGGGCAGCCCAGAGTGGAGCTGGCCCTCCTGACCAGCTTGTTCAGCTTGTTCTTAGCAGCATGTAATACTACTGTAAATGTTAGCAGCATGTGATACTACTAATGTACTTGTTAGCAGCATGTGATACTACTACTGTACATGTTAGCAGCATGTGATACTACTACTGTACATGTTAGCAGCATGTGATACTACTACTGTACATGTTAGCAGCATGTGATACTACTGTACATTGAAGAAGATGACATAGTCTGGGATCGCGTCTTAAATTCAGACAGAAGACATGTTTTATTGTCGATGGTAGAGACAGCACGATCAAAGCACACAATCACAGAAACAATAGAATGCAAGTGTATTATACAGAGCGGAGGCATGGAGACCTCCAATCAGCAGCTGCCACGGTGCCATGTAGCTTGGCCTTCAGATAGACAAAACAAGGGAAAAGTACTGGCTTCTGCACATTGATAGATTGATGAGTTTAACTTTAACAAAAGTTGCTTAAAAGTGTTATAAAATCTCACATTCCCCCCTCTGGTCATACATTCACGTGTGACCATCAGGATCGATAAACAGCAACATAACATCATAACTCAATACTTAAACTCGGTACTTCACTCGGTACTTC